TAGTTCTAATCTGCACAGTGTTAGTTCTGTTCTGTAGAGTGTTAGTTCTAATCTGCACAGTGTTAGTTCTGTTCTGTAGAGTGTTAGTTCTAATCTGCACAGTGTTAGTTCTGTTCTGTAGAGTGTTAGTTCTAATCTGCACAGTGTTAGTTCTGTTCTGTAGAGTGTTAGTTCTAATCTGCACAGTGTTAGTTCTGTTCTGTAGAGTGTTAGTTCTAATCTGCACAGTGTTAGTTCTGTTCTGTAGAGTGTTAGTTCTAATCTGCACAGTGTTAGTTCTGTTCTGTAGAGTGTTAGTTCTAATCTGCACAGTGTTAGTTCTGTTCTGTAGAGTGTTAGTTCTAATCTGCACAGTGTTAGTTCTGTTCTGTAGAGTGTTAGTTCTAATCTGCACAGTGTTAGTTCTGTTCTGTAGAGTGTTAGTTCTAATCTGCACAGTGTTAGTTCTGTTCTGTAGAGTGTTAGTTCTAATCTGCACAGTGTTAGTTCTGTTCTGTAGAGTGTTAGTTCTAATCTGCACAGTGTTAGTTCTGTTCTGTAGAGTGTTAGTTCTAATCTGCACAGTGTTAGTTCTGTTCTGTAGAGTGTTAGTTCTAATCTGCACAGTGTTAGTTCTGTTCTGTAGAGTGTTAGTTCTAATCTGCACAGTGTTAGTTCTGTTCTGTAGAGTGTTAGTTCTAATCTGCACAGTGTTAGTTCTGTTCTGTAGAGTGTTAGTTCTAATCTGCACAGTGTTAGTTCTGTTCTGTAGAGTGTTAGTTCTAATCTGCACAGTGTTAGTTCTGTTCTGTAGAGTGTTAGTTCTAATCTGCACAGTGTTAGTTCTGTTCTGTAGAGTGTTAGTTCTAATCTGCACAGTGTTAGTTCTGTTCTGTAGAGTGTTAGTTCTAATCTGCACAGTGTTAGTTCTGTTCTGTAGAGTGTTAGTTCTAATCTGCACAGTGTTAGTTCTGTTCTGTAGAGTGTTAGTTCTAATCTGCACAGTGTTAGTTCTGTTCTGTAGAGTGTTAGTTCTAATCTGCACAGTGTTAGTTCTGTTCTGTAGAGTGTTAGTTCTAATCTGCACAGTGTTAGTTCTGTTCTGTAGAGTGTTAGTTCTAATCTGCACAGTGTTAGTTCTGTTCTGTAGAGTGTTAGTTCTAATCTGCACAGTGTTAGTTCTGTTCTGTAGAGTGTTAGTTCTAATCTGCACAGTGTTAGTTCTGTTCTGTAGAGTGTTAGTTCTAATCTGCACAGTGTTAGTTCTGTTCTGTAGAGTGTTAGTTCTAATCTGCACAGTGTTAGTTCTATTCTGTAGAGTGTTAGTTCTAATCTGCACAGTGTTAGTTCTGTTCTGTAGAGTGTTAGTTCTAATCTGCACAGTGTTAGTTCTGTTCTGTAGAGTGTTAGTTCTAATCTGCACAGTGTTAGTTCTGTTCTGTAGAGTGTTAGTTCTAATCTGCACAGTGTTAGTTCTATTCTGTAGAGTGTTAGTTCTAATCTGCACAGTGTTAGTTCTATTCTGTAGAGTGTTAGTTCTAATCTGCACAGTGTTAGTTCTATTCTGTAGAGTGTTAGTTCTAATCTGCACAGTGTTAGTTCTATTCTGTAGAGTGTTAGTTCTAATCTGCACAGTGTTAGTTCTATTCTGTAGAGTGTTAGTTCTAATCTGCACAGTGTTAGTTCTGTTCTGTAGAGTGTTAGTTCTAATCTGCACAGTGTTAGTTCTATTCTGTAGAGTGTTAGTTCTAATCTGCACAGTGTTAGTTCTGTTCTGTAGAGTGTTAGTTCTAATCTGCACAGTGTTAGTTCTGTTCTGTAGAGTGTTAGTTCTAATCTGCACAGTGTTAGTTCTGTTCTGTAGAGTGTTAGTTCTAATCTGCACAGTGTTAGTTCTATTCTGTAGAGTGTTAGTTCTAATCTGCACAGTGTTAGTTCTATTCTGTAGAGTGTTAGTTCTAATCTGCACAGTGTTAGTTCTATTCTGTAGAGTGTTAGTTCTAATCTGCACAGTGTTAGTTCTGTTCTGTAGAGTGTTAGTTCTAATCTGCACAGTGTTAGTTCTGTTCTGTAGAGTGTTAGTTCTAATCTGCACAGTGTTAGTTCTGTTCTGTAGAGTGTTAGTTCTAATCTGCACAGTGTTAGTTCTATTCTGTAGAGTGTTAGTTCTAATCTGCACAGTGTTAGTTCTATTCTGTAGAGTGTTAGTTCTAATCTGCACAGTGTTAGTTCTATTCTGTAGAGTGTTAGTTCTAATCTGCACAGTGTTAGTTCTATTCTGTAGAGTGTTAGTTCTAATCTGCACAGTGTTAGTTCTATTCTGTAGAGTGTTAGTTCTATTCTGCACAGTGTTAGTTCCGTTCTGTAGAGTGTTAGTTCTAATCTGCACAGTGTTAGTTCTATTCTGTAGAGTGTTAGTTCTAATCTGCACAGTGTTAGTTCTATTCTGTAGAGTGTTAGTTCTAATCTGCACAGTGTTAGTTCTATTCTGTAGAGTGTTAGTTCTAATCTGCACAGTGTTAGTTCTATTCTGTAGAGTGTTAGTTCTAATCTGCACAGTGTTAGTTCTATTCTGTAGAGTGTTAGTTCTAATCTGCACAGTGTTAGTTCTATTCTGTAGAGTGTTAGTTCTAATCTGCACAGTGTTAGTTCTATTCTGTAGAGTGTTAGTTCTAATCTGCACAGTGTTAGTTCTATTCTGTAGAGTGTTAGTTCTAATCTGCACAGTGTTAGTTCTATTCTGTAGAGTGTTAGTTCTAATCTGCACAGTGTTAGTTCTATTCTGTAGAGTGTTAGTTCTAATCTGCACAGTGTTAGTTCTATTCTGTAGAGTGTTAGTTCTAATCTGCACAGTGTTAGTTCTATTCTGTAGAGTGTTAGTTCTAATCTGCACAGTGTTAGTTCTATTCTGTAGAGTGTTAGTTCTAATCTGCACAGTGTTAGTTCTATTCTGTAGAGTGTTAGTTCTAATCTGCACAGTGTTAGTTCTATTCTGTAGAGTGTTAGTTCTAATCTGCACAGTGTTAGTTCTATTCTGTAGAGTGTTAGTTCTAATCTGCACAGTGTTAGTTCTATTCTGTAGAGTGTTAGTTCTAATCTGCACAGTGTTAGTTCTATTCTGTAGAGTGTTAGTTCTAATCTGCACAGTGTTAGTTCTATTCTGTAGAGTGTTAGTTCTAATCTGCACAGTGTTAGTTCTATTCTGTAGAGTGTTAGTTCTAATCTGCACAGTGTTAGTTTTATTCTGTAGAGTGTTAGTTCTATTCTGCACAGTGTTAGTTCCGTTCTGTAGAGTGTTAGTTCTAATCTGCACAGTGTTAGTTCTATTCTGTAGAGTGTTAGTTCTATTCTGCACAGTGTTAGTTCCGTTCTGTAGAGTGTTAGTTCTAATCTGCACAGTGTTAGTTCTATTCTGTAGAGTGTTAGTTCTAATCTGCACAGTGTTAGTTCTATTCTGTAGAGTGTTAGTTCTAATCTGCACAGTGTTAGTTCTATTCTGTAGAGTGTTAGTTCTAATCTGCACAGTGTTAGTTCTATTCTGTAGAGTGTTAGTTCTAATCTGCACAGTGTTAGTTCTATTCTGTAGAGTGTTAGTTCTAATCTGCACAGTGTTAGTTCTATTCTGTAGAGTGTTAGTTCTAATCTGCACAGTGTTAGTTCTATTCTGTAGAGTGTTAGTTCTAATCTGCACAGTGTTAGTTCTATTCTGTAGAGTGTTAGTTCTAATCTGCACAGTGTTAGTTCTATTCTGTAGAGTGTTAGTTCTAATCTGCACAGTGTTAGTTCTATTCTGTAGAGTGTTAGTTCTAATCCCCTACAGTGTTAGTTCTATTCGGTAGCGTGTTAGTTCTAATAATATGCACAGTGTTAGTTCTAATCTGTAGTGTGTTAGTGTCAGTTCTAACTGATGGCTTGTTAGTTCTATTTTATACCTACATTGTCTAATTTATACCACGTTATATCTAATTTATAACAATTAGGACTAACAATATGGGAACTATAGTGGAACCAGCAATAACTCTAGTAGAACTAACAAAATAGCGATTAGAACTGACAAATAAAACATTAGAACTCTAGTATGGAGCATAACAAAGAACTGCTTAATGACAAATAAAACATTAGAACTGAAGTCCAGTTAAACCTAGTATAGAACTAACAAGAAGACGATTAGAACTTAAGTTAATTGATTTTACAGTTAACCTACATGTCTTGTCGGACTTGCTCGTTTTCCTGTTTATTCGAAGAATCATCTCCTTCTTTAAAAGCTTGCACGTGAACCTCTTTCAGTCCAAGATTGTGGCAATGCTCCACCATAGACGTCAGATCACCATCGTTCTCAATGAGAAATTTTAAGCTTCCAATTGTTTGATCTTCGTATGCCAAAATTAATGACTCGTATGGAAGATCTAACCTCTCTGCCGCATCAAACTTGAGATCCAAGATGGTGGTTGAAGAATTAATCTTCAAGAATACCGCTTTATACTGCGAAGAGACAATGCAGATGATGTCCTTTTTAGCCATTTTGATCTGAGGAGGAGGAGTAATGGAGAACTAACTAGTTATTGCTCATGATGGAGAGAGTTATGGAGAGAATTTTGGTCTGAGGAGGAGGAGTAATGGAGAACTAACTAGTTAGATGGAGTAAAAAAAGGGGGAAATTTCCCTCCATTTTCACCATCATATCGCATTAATGAGAAGTGACTTCCAGGACTCGTCTGGGGAAGAAAGAGAAGGGCAGTTTTGGTTTTTTTGTAAAATATCATCTGCTTTTAGTATAAAGCTGACGTGGAGGGGGCTTAAAACATTAAAGCCCATTTTTTGGGGCTATTCCACATGGGGCAAAGTACAAGGGGGCTAGTCACACGAAGTTCCCACTTTTGGGGCCTGGACACATTTTTCCCTTGTTTTAGTATCTTGTTTGATTTTGTGATCTGAAAGTTTTGATTATTTTCAGATTTATCAAGGACCTATCTGAATAAACCTGAAAGGAGAAACAAGGCCCCAAGCTCTAAATTTAAAAGAGCCCAGTTGAAAAGCCTTGAAATTGCTCCGTCTTCTTCAAAAAAATTTCTTTTTCCCGCTCCGAATCGTTCTCAGTCCTCATTTCTTCTGAAAACCTAGAACGAGAAATTGAGATCAAGAGGTAATCTTTTTCATTTCTAATTAAGTTCTTCTTCAATCACGATTTGATGTTCTGTTCAAGGGTTTCGAAAACCCTAGTTTTTGTTTTTATTTTTTGTTGCTTTTATGCGTTTCTAGACCTTCAGAAATTTACCCTAAAAATTAAAAATTTCCCAATTACTTTCCAGTTGAGTGGTTTTTGGATGGGAGATCTCAGTGTGAGAGTGGATATACAAAAGCTTCTTTCTTTTGGCGATGACCTAATTGGAGTACTCAACAATGAAAAGGATGTCGAGAGCTTGAAGCAATCCATGGAAGGGGGAAAGATGCTTGGTGCTGCAACTCAGGGGGATGCTCAACAAGTTCAAGCGTCGTTAGAAGGTGAAATCTCTGTTCTTTAGTAAGTTATGAAGAGCAGGAGAAATTATGATAAATGAAGGAAATTTATTAACCCGAATCGATTTTGATATGAAATTGGGGTCATTTGAGTATTGAGGGAGCTTATGCTGCTAATATATAATAATTTCTGATACTGAAACTATGAAGATGATTGTCTGCATGTATTCAAACGCAATGCTGATTTTATGAGGTCAAATTTGTGAAGCAGTCTGTCTTTGTAATAGTTATTTGTTGTATGAATATAATGTTATATCTGTGAAGTGGTTTCGGTCAGAGGGGATGATATATATTAAAGCTTATAGAAGCTAATTTTCTAAGGTTTCTCATAAGTAACAATTGAGGGTTTGCTTTTGGGCTTTTAGCTTATGGAGGTTTCTTTATGATTAATTTGCATTGACAAATGAAGACTGTACAGACTAGAGCTCCTAATATACACAAAACAAGAACATTAAGCTTTGATGGGGGTTTTGGTAGGGAAACTTGCACTTCAATTAAATAAGTCTCACATTTGAAATAAGAGAATTTACAGTTGTATTGCATCATATTAGAGCATTTATTTGCTTCTATTACCATATTGCAGAATATCAGAAAAGAATTGGTGTATGCAAAGAAAATATAGACAAAACAAAGAGGGGAACTGTTCCTGATGCAGAAATAGAACACCTTCAAAGTGAATTGGAAGAGAAACTCCAAAGAGAAAGCTCACTCTGCGAAGAACTAAGATAAGTGTTAAATGATTTCAGCATCTTTAGTAAATTTTATGAGTATAAGCGCAGAAGTGAATGATGTGCAGTTAAATCTGATAGCTTTCCATATGTTTCAACACAGCAATTCATGAGGAGCTTGATGGCCTAGAACGTCAGAGAGTTTCCATTGAAGAACAGAAAGAACTAGTGAAAAAAAGAGAAAAAGATTTGTTGAGGGCACAGTGAGTCTCTACTCGTCATCTCTGATTATTTTTTCTCCTTTATAATTCATACTTTCTTTTGTTGAATTACCTATCATGCTTAACTCCTACCGAGCACTACTCACTGCACATAATTTTGACTGTTCATGTGAACTGCTCCTCAGTAAAAGAATGATAAGTACCCTCACAAACAAATTATTGACTTCAGCTAGGGTATTAGTGATAAACCTAAGAATAATAATCAAGTATGACATCTCTTCTTCTTGTATATTGCCATTTGTTGTTATGCACATAGAAAGAACACAGGGAGGGAGACGACTGTTAATCACATAGCAGGCCGCAAAAAGCTTCTTTTTTTGTTGGAACTATTTCTAGGAGGGTAACTCAAGCTATTTCCTCAAATTTTTATTTTAAAAATAGGAAAGAAATATATTTTTGCTCCGTCTAATATTTTGGTTGTTAATTAGGAGTAAAACTATAGAGATCGGATCTGAAGCCACTTAAGACTTTATATACAGGAATTTTTGCATTATAATGATCTCCTTTACCAATGCTTCTCATCTTTAATTGTATAACCACAACTTTCTCCTTAATTTAATGCTTTCATAACCCAAAAATATAGTAGATGCTTCCATGATCCAAAATTAAAATGGTGGGAACTCTAAATTTATTGTTTTTTCAATGCTTCCAGGATCCAGACTAGTGTTCTTGCGGTGAAAATGAAACCCTGCAGGGCTACTTTAGATGTGTGTAATGGTCAAATTGATTGTTTTGAATGATCTGCAGAATTCATAATTGTTTTCCCTCTTGGCCTGAAGGCCAACTTGTGACTATGTCTACGACATGGTTTAGAATGTTAAAATTATATCATACAGAGTACAGAGGATCAAATATGTTTCTTTATCTTGCACTTTCCAAATAGTTCCTGTGAGTCCTTAGAGATTTGAAATACCCTTGTGACTTAGAGAATAATATATTAGATTATACTTCTTGATGCTCTCTACATGTTTGTACATATCTTTTATCAGTATAAAAACCTTTCGACAGTCCTCTGCTGCAAGAAGCTAACTTAGAGAAATTCGTGACTTTCTGCAAACGTGTAGTTCTTTTGCACTCTTTGGTAATTATATATTTGAACTTGGTATTTTGGCAACTCACTGCTGCTAAGTAAGGTCACTGCAGCAATCATAATTATTTCTGAAAAGATAGGTTATTTATGTAAACAGAAGAAACAGATAATATTTTAAATATTCTGCCTTGTCTCAGAAATTGATGTCTTTTAAGCAGCTTATGTGTAGACATGCATTAGCACAGGCAAGAAATACTGCTACTTCATCCAATTACTGTTGTCAAATGCATGTCAACACCTGTGTGCGTCTCTAGAACTGCTAATCCCCTGCTCCTTGCTATTTCTCAAGTTTCCTGAGTAAATTCAAAAGGCATCTGTATTCCTTGAAGGGAATCATTTAGTAGAACCTGCCTTCCTATTTTGCTGTATTATTCTTTCAACCAATTTGCTAACAGGCATGGTACAAGCAGTATATTCTGAGTGTAATAGAAAGGAAATCATTTGAGGTAACTGATTTGTCCTTATATTCTTACTAACTTGCGTCTTCTTTGTCAGAGGCTTATTTAATAAGTTAATATTGATGTTTGACGTCTCCTGTCATATCTGATAAAAAAATGCATGTTTCAATCATTTGCTGCCTATTGCTGAATCTTTTATGAGGTATCTAGCAATACTAAATCATTAACAGAAACTTCAATCATTTGCTGCCTATTGCTGAATCTTTTATGAGGTATCTAGCAATACTAAATCATTAACAGAAACTCTATATTACAGGTCACAATGCATTTGTGTTTTATGAGGTATCTAGCAATACTAAATCATTAACAGAAACTCTATATTACAGGTCACAATGCATTTGTGCATAAATATAACATGTACATGTATGTCTATCCTTGTATGTGGGAAATGGCTTTAGTGTATCAGACAAATGTCTCTGTGGTTAAAGAACAATTCAGAGTCGTTTCCATTTCCAAAGACAATTATATGGTTTTATCACCCTCATCTGGGACCGAGACAAAAGAGAGGATTAGTACCGCATATATTCCTTAACGTTCTATTTTTTCGCCTTTTTTTTATAAATCTGTAGATGCTTACTATCAAAACTAACTTATCATGGTTTTTTGTGCGCGTGCGTGAGCGTGTCAGCCTAAGCACCACTTTAAGTGCATAACAATTGCCTTTTCTTGCAGGAATCTACTGTCCATGTGTGCTTCAGTAACAAATATCATCCCAATATTAGATGATCAGACCAAGATCTCCGGCTGTATCCTTTTCACTACATGTACTTGATTTTGCTCTCATATTCTGCTACATAGCTTACTTGCATAAAGTTTGCTTTCATTTCATAGCATCGTTACATTACCGCATCTCCTTAATGAAAGAGTATCAGTTGTTGTAGACAGAAACATGAAGAGAGCTGAGAAGTTCGAGCTCGATAACGATTTACCCTCATATGAGACGAGCAACAGGCTGTGGGAAATGGCTAGCAGTGGCTGATTTTTTAAATGTTCCTTATCAAATGTATGTATCTGACATTTTACCACCGTTTAAGGCTCTTGTACTTTTAATTTAAACGTTAATGATACTTTTTTAACGTTCTGTGTGAAAATGAGTTTCCAAGATTAGATTACTTGAATTCGGCATGATTCAGTAAGAGGCTTAATACGCACATAATCTCTTGGATGCTTGACACCCATCTTAACCACAGTTGGTCAATCATCGTAAACTTCTATTTGGAAAATTCTGTTTGAAACAAAATTGTTAAACCGTGTCGCCTTTTCTTCAGAAGAATCACACAAAATTAAGTTCAACATTGAACCTTGTAAAAAGTAGCAACCTCCTCAGGAAACTGCGTTATTTTGCACCAAACAAGTACTTTTTTTTTTTGGTGACTACATGGGGAAAAAAACATAGGAAACGACAGATTTTAAATTGCAAATACTTTGGCATTGAAGCCTTATGCCGCCACAATAACATCAAGAAAGCACCAAACTGTCTTCAATCAGATAACAAATCGAGCTCGTGCGAAGGAACAATGAAAAATACAATTGAGCGAAGAAAATCTTTTAACCCTAACAGCCAAACAAACTACAGAGCTCGCCTCTCTCTCTCTCTCTCTTTTATTTGGTTCCGTTCATCGCGCTCTCTCCATCAACAGCCAAAGGAACCGATCGTGCCTGAATCAAAAATTTGAGAAATTTACAACATAAGTACTCATATCATAGCTTAATTTTCAGTGTATCATATATTCAAAAAACTTACCAAGTTGCGGTATTTGAGGGCATAGAACATCTCAAGATAACGACGTGTCTCTCTACGGTCAAGATTGGAGACATACTTCCAGAATCCATAAACACCAGCCAATGTCATTAGCCTCTCAGAGTACAACTTCCAAGTATACCTAAACACAATTCAAATATACATCACAAAAAACTGTTAAAATTCACCCCACATATTAAAGGAGGAGGAAAAAAAACAAGTCTTACTTTTCTTCGATACGTTTAAGGCCTCCTTTAGAGATTTTCTCCCAGTGGGTTGGATCTTGATTGCATTTCTCAAAGAAGTCCACAAGGAGCTCAGCAGCCTTGTCGCCTTGGTACGGATCAATGTGGAAGCCTGAAACTCCGTGGACTATTATCTCTGCGGGCCCACCATGGGACGTTGCGAATGTGGGTAAACCGCATGTCATGGCCTCGACAACTGTGAGTCCAAATGCTTCATAGAACGCCGGCTAACAAAGATGGAAATGTTTTGTTAAACAATTTATAATGACACAGATGCAAACATATAGATTAAGGCGAGTAAACGACAGACATCTAAATTGGGGATTTCCCCCCCTCCCAAAAATGTTTAAGTTGTTTTTCATTTACAGGTTGTTTTTCATTTACAGGTAGGGGTTCCATTGAGACAAGTTGCAAGTTTAGGGGGTTATCTGAGACACCACAAAGTTCAGGGGGGTTATCTGCAGCACCCCAATTGTTGAGGGGTATTTTCTCAAATTAACATAGTGCAGGGAGTTATCTGCAACACCCCCAAAGTGCATGGCGGTCTTCTGAAGTTAACCCATAATTGCAAGAAGTTAGGCACTAGTAATGCCATGATTTTAGTATCTATAATGTGCTCATATTTCCAGCCATAAAACACAATGAGTTTTCTAGTAAGAGTGGAGTACCTGTACAAAGGCCCCTTTAGTATCACAGATATATCGATACAGTTCTCCATTTCTAACCCGATTCATCTGAGCAGAGATCCAACGGATCGAACCATCCAACTTGTACTCCTCAATGAGACTATACATCTTCTTCAACTCTGCTTGCTCTTCCTTATCCTTAGACTCCTTGCCATGGTCACCAGCCACCACTACAAGGTTAACTAGCTCTCTGAGCCGTTGGTTCCTACCAAACAACTCAACCAAACCCGTTATGTTTTTAACGCGATCCAATCTTGCCATTGAAAAGATTATGGGCTTGTTCCTGTCCTTCAGCACAAACCTACAAGAACAAAAAACATTTTTACTCAATAAAAAGATGGATTAATTACAATCTTCATACCCTGAGGTATGGTGTAGTTACACGGGTGACGCCAGAGTCTGCATATCTACACGATGAGTAATTCTGAAAATTACTGACTGTAATTACCCAGGTGAATCTAGAGCATGTTTATTTTTTCGCTCTAAGGGTAACACGATACAATCGGTAATCTCAGGATTTACTAGAATTTAAGGCCCCGTGCAATTGCACCATACTATAGGGTACCCGATACAAATGGAAAGAGATCTTTAGTGAGACAGATATGAGCATAATGAGCATGAGATTACTTGTGGTCAGCATTCTCGACAGAACTAAAGAGGAGCTCTTCAATTTCTGCGTGAAGAGATGTCAGCCTCCTGCTCTCCTCATAGTAAGGGAAGTAGATGGACATGTCAGCACCAGGAGAGACAATATTGAACTTTGGATCAAAGACATCAATTCCATGAACTACTCGGTATAAACCAGGAAGAGTGAAGGCGGTGTGGGATTCGTATTGACCAACTGTATCCTTACTGAGATAAGAAGATAAAAATTTGTGTCACTGCCTTCGAAAATTTCATGATAAAGTTATTGACTAGTTAGAAAAAGATCAAAATTTTAGTTCTTACTTTCCGGCAATCTCTTGGAAGGTGCTTGTAATGATGAAATCGGTGTGATTCATGGCGAAGAGATCAGCTGTAAATTGGCAGGAGAAATGGTACTGGTTCTCAAATTTCTTCCAGTAAATATCTGAGTTTGGATACTTTGTTTTTTCCAACGCATGAGCTATAGTACACTGCATCAATCAAGAGATTGATATTAATGATTATCATCCCTTACCAAACAAAACAAAACAAAAAGTAAAAAGAAAAAAGAAAAACAAAACGCGCACACAGACAACTTAATGTTAAGGGTTTTTGCATTCAAACCTGAGTAACTCCTAACTTGTGTGCCAAGAGAGATGCAACGATATTTCCATCACTATAGTTTCCAATAATCAAATCTGGGGTCGCCTGCAACTCTCGAGCCAACTCATTTGCAACATCCTTTTAATGAAACATTAATATAAGGTGAGATCCTCATTTAACTTATTCAAATACAATGGAGAAACTGAAAAAAAATATTATCTCATAGAATTACCTCGGTATAGGTCTCGAGGTAAGGCCACACCTCAAAACGTGAAATCCACTTGCGAAGAATTCCTTTCTCCGATCTAAATGGAACTCGAAGAATATGTGTATGCTCAGTTCCAAGAACCTTTTCAAGTCGCTGGCCACAGGTGGTCCCCACAGCATCGGGAAGCAATCTCGTCACCTAAATAAAAAGAGGATAAGGTTCTAAATAAAAGAGAGGAGAAACAATAAGCAAGCAAATGTGTATATATTGTTTTTACTTACAATTAGAATTTTAGGTGTGATATTGAGACCCTGCTGCTTAATTCTAAGAAGCATCTCTTCTTCTAAGGCACGAACTTGATCCAAAATGTAAACAACCTGCGATATAATATTTGTTATAATACAGAATATAAAACAAATAATCGAAGAATGGAAATTTGATTTAGTATTATACCTGGCCACCAGTATCGGGGTAGCCCAAAACATTAGCTTGAGCGAAGTATCCATGAGGAGAAAGGATGACAACATTAAAGACCATTGGAATGGTGCCAAGAAATTTCTCTAAGGTACAAGGATCAGGGGCCTCGAGAAGATCGAGTAGCAGATGAATTGTGTCATATGAACGTTTAGCTGTGTCACCCCAACCTTTTTCCAGGCCAAGCTCTTGAAATCTGAACAATATTTATATGGCTGTTAAATTGATCTTGACTATAACATGTAAAGGATTTTTGGAAAGTGCTGCATTGTATGGTAAATACCTGTGGGTGAAATCAGAGTATGGTGTGTTTTGTGGAATGCTCAAAAGATACTTTTCTGCCTTCCTTAATGTAGACTGAAGAGCACTCAGGCTTTGAATTCTATCGTTCAGCATCATTGTCTGTATGATACATCACAAGTGTTAAGAGAACCTGACATATAGTCTGAACTACATGAAGTATATGAAGTAAAATATAATTGCTAGCTTTGTACGACCGTCAAAATTAGTGTTAAATTTATAAGCAGGTCGAACTTTAGTGTTAAATTTATAAGCAGGTCGAACTTTTTTTCACTTGACGTTTACATTTTCATATGTCAATTTTTTTGTCAACCATTCATTCATAATAACAAAATTAGTAAGGATCAGATATGACAGTGAGACAGCGAAGGGCAAAGTAAAACAGAGAAGGCAGATGAGATAGTAAGGGTACATCTATGAACATACCAATACACGACGAAATTATAAGATGAATTATGCGATTATTTAAACTCCCTTTTTCAGATCATTATTTTGATTCAGTAAGGTCACTTGCTCTTGTTTATCATTAGTAACTACTTCAACATCGCTAACAAAGAAAATTTTAAAATCCATTTAGCATTTGCTCCCCATGGTGGTAATTTGCTCCTACGTTACCATATATTGTGCAGGAAACTAACTGAATCTTGTTTATTTATTTATTTGAAAAGACTGAATCTTGTTTATTAATGCATTACTAAATAATAAGCAATCTCCATATAAATGACAAATAATTATAAAATAATGATATCAACAAATATGAGATCAACAAAGAGAAAATAAACGAGACAAGGATAATGAACACTTACAGTTCCATTATAGTGGTGCTGCCTAAGAAAGTTAAGCAGTGGATACATGCTTTCCTTGTCATGGAACAATTTGGAAGAGAGGTGACGGTTAAGGAACTGGACTCCATTACCAATAGACTTCGTCAGTGAAGGACGAGGGAATGAAGCATTGAAGGGCTCAAAATCCAATTCCAATACAAAATTATTATCAGGGCTGCAAAACAAAGAAGTTCTGCGGTTAGTATTTGAAACGAACTTACATAGATCACAAAATAGATCACATATAAGATCAAGATCGCATACTTTTCTTCGACAAGTTGTTCCTTAAACTGCAAGTATTCAGGCACTGTGAGTTCCTCTACTCGAAGTTCGTTAACGTTTAGTCTCACATATTCCCAGACTCCAGGCCTAGGGCGAATAGCAAGAGCAACCCATGGAGGTATGACTATCCCTTCCTGTCACAATCAAAATTTACATAAGCCTAGTTCATAATATTAGTCTTAATGCATTTATCTTAGTCCTAATTGAAATTTCAATGATTTGAGGGACTAATTTCATAGTATAAAACTGTTAAATCAAACTCACACCTGAACTGAATGGATGCAAGATGCTCCTAACAGATGCGAAGGATATAAAAGTAGATTCAATGTGCTATTTGTATTACCTGTGCTGCTCTGATGACATCTTCAAAAGCCCCATCCTTCAGCTTCTTCCTCTCTTCTTCAGATATCACGGCTTCGTATTCAGCTAACAGTTGATGGGGTTGGAGCATACCCTTTCCTTGGTTAACAAGCCTGTAAAGCCAAAATCACATAATGAGACGTGATAAAGTTGATCATATGAACTTCACAAATCCTAAGAATGCACGTCAACTCTCACTTAGAATTGGGTTTCAATCACTGCATAAATTAGCTGTTTTTACTGATTTCTAGTTTTTCAGAAGAAGGCTGGAGTCGAGAGTCACACAAGGATTCATAAAAACTAGAAGTTTCACTATAGGATTGGACCAGTACCAATCCTCATGCAGCAAAAAAATCTAAAAACCCAAAAGTTCTATATCATCAAGCTTGAACTTTTGCATCAGTTTTTGCTTAAGAAACGCCGAGAAGCCCAGACGAGTAGATTCAATACCTTGAGAAGAGGGCAACCAATACATTAGTGTGAGCAGAGAGGCTATCTCCTACACGCTCTCGAACACTGTGGACGCGAGTCAAAGCGCGATCACCCATGGCTGGCTTCTTCTTTCCAACTTCAAGCCGCACAAAGATGAACCAAACTGCAATCAGCAAGAGACATGCAAATTTATGAACACCAACATATTAAAGAGCCTCATATGGACTAAGACATTGATGGAAGCTGAGAATTTTCTGGCAATCAACAGAAGCTGGACTATTTGACTTCTACAGAGAGAACTTCTAGAGAGTCAAGAATCCTTGATGTGAAGGAACTAATCACGGATCAAGCTACCATTAGAAAGATTATTAGCTTGTAGCATATATAAGAAAAAAAAATACCTTTGATGATTTATCAAGCTTGTCAGTAAAGTTCTGATTTTTGACTGCGATGCAATTCAACTTCAGACCTGTGGAAAGTTCAAAGGAACAGATCAGAGAAAAGAACCAACAAATGAGATGTTTTAGAGACTGATCAAAAATCTCTACCAGAAAATAGAATGATGGTATACGATCAACAAAGAGAGAACATCGATTTATTTAGATAGGGGGTAAAAAAAAAACCCTTTTCCCGGGAAAGATTGATAAAAGTAAAAAAGAAGAGTAACATTCTATTTCCAAATAAGTAGGTAAAAATACCTTAACGTCACCAATACTGTCAGCAGAAAAAACCCAGAATCCTAAGAGCATATACTAATCATCCTACAAAATTTCCCCCCCATAATAATCTTAAAAAGCCAAGACAAGGACCACCATTATGGCCCGAAGCAATTTGTATTTATGGGAATTCTTTCAACTACTAGCACTGTCTAATACTTCCCAAATATATAAGATAAAGTAATTAGAGTAAAAGTGATGGGGATATGCTCAAATATATTTCATTAACAAATATAAGCAAATTATTGAAGGAAACAGCATCGTTTTCCCTCACATACAAAAGAGCAATGATGCCAGAAAAGTCTCTAACTTCTGAAGCTTATACCATATTTTCCTAGAAAACTATGCGAGGAAAAAAAAAAGGTTGTTCCATTAGAACAAGCAACTCAGCGTGGTCAAGTGAAATTACTCAGTTTTCAAACCAAAAGACAAACTTTGTCCTCTCCTTTTTCTTCGCCAACTGCAAGATTGGATTTGGGTTGTATTTTCAGATAATACATGCACAGAAAAAAGAAACCCATATGGTATTTTTACCAACAAAGCTACTCTCATCATGATCAAACTAAACATGCCCATGTCTCAACCCAAAAAGATCTTTTTTTTCTTTCTTTTTTTCTGGGTCAGCGAAAATTTCATATTTTTCTAGCCATTTTCTCCACTAATGAAAGAAACCATTACCTAATATCTCTCAAGGATCACCAAACCAAAACCGAATGGAGCAAAGAGAGCAAGAGAAACAAAGTAAATGAAATAATGAACGGGGGGGATTAAGCAACGGACGAATGCAATGAGAAACGAGAGGAGAAGGGACCCCTTTAAATAGAACTTTAGGAGAGTTGGAGAAAGAGAGAGAAATAGCTTCTAGAAAATGATGATGGTGAATTAGGTAACCATTGGGGACTGAAGAGAAAGGGCCTGTCTCTTTCCTTGAAGGACCCAATTCCTCTGTTTGAAAAAAACCACCGCTTGCCATGGCTCCTGGTTTTTTTTTCACTGCTCCCTTTTTCCCCCACCTTTGTTTTCTGAGGACTGAGGGCACAATTTGCTTTGTTTAATCCTCTATTGCTTAGGATTAAGATAAGTTTGTTTAATTTTATGTTTTTTCTTTTTAATTTATTCTTTGGTGGGTATTCCCCTGTTTCTGATGCTCTGTTTAGGATTAGGACAAGCGGTTGGGCGTCCTGGATTTGTGCTGGTTTAGCTAACGGGTTTGGATTTGGGTTTGGGTTCTGACCCGAGATTGATGGTTTGATTTTGGGTTTGACCTTTGTGGGGTTCTAGATGTAATAAAAATTTTTTGAGTTGAATTCTGCTTGGTCTGATAGGAATTATGTGCATTATGATGGTCGAATATATGTTTGAACGGGGAATTTCTTAAGAAATTTTTCAATTTTGTTAGAGACTCAATAACTAGGGGACGGACGTTACCATTTTTTCCGTGGAGCTTTCGTGGATCATTTGGATAGGAGTTATCACGGGTATTAGATTTTCTAATGTTTTAAGAGAAAAAGACAACGTTGTTTGTGAGGTGCTTTATGCTGAGATTACAAAGTCTGCTTTTGTTTAATCTTCACGTTAGATGAACTTTTTGGTGTATGTTAGATTTAAGAATAGAAGAAGAGCAAGAGTCTAGGTCATATCAAAATTATCCGCATGTAAGTAAATTTTGTGCCGCTCACGAGGGGTGATGGGGTTTAGATTTGGATTTTCATTATCCTTATGGAGGGCAAAGATCTGTCCATTCGCGTGCATGTATATAGTTCTGATCTGATTTGTTCACTAACAAAAGAGTGACCAAGAAAATTCTGATAATGAAGTGAATCTATCTCGATTGAAGTTTGGAGTTCGGATTCTTTAACCAGTGCTCGTAAAGCACGTGTATAAACGTTGATACATTACTTCTTTATGTTGAATTATAAAAGAAAATACTACTTTATATCAGAACAGATAACATTTTTTGAACATTTTGGATCGTCTCCGAGTTTGAAAAGAGTACATGAAACTTCCATTTTGAAACGCTTGACACATCACAAACTTATAAAATAATATATAATATTCAACCAAATTCAATAAAACTTTAAAATATTACTTGTAATAAAAATCAAATTGGATAAACTTGTAAGCAATTCCACACCACCAACCACTAAAACTCGCCCTAACCTACCAAAATAATTACCCCTAAACTCCAAGTTCACTCTACTAATGGGGTCCATGCCACATGGATCTTTTCCCTAATAAACATAAATCCTAAGGTCAACCTCTCAAGTTACGTAAGTGGACCCAATGTTACCTAATTAGGACTTGTATCAACTTTTATCCCTTCGCAAGTCAGATCCATTAAACCAAACTTTAGGCGTGACAAAAGATATACTAACCTTCTTCAATTCTTTCCATTTAAAAAACAAAAACTTTCTTCAATTCTCTACCAATCGAAATTAACCGGTGGGCCCATATGAAAATGACCCAGATACCCACCCACGATCCGGCCCATTAATGACATCAGAATCACGATTCCACAAGATTAATTGGTGAGCTGTCCGATTAAATTGGGGAGACCCTGAGTTAAGGGTACGTTGTTCCCTCGGATCAGCATAAGCAGGCACGGTGTTTGGATCTTTCTGGATTCAAATAAGTCAGGCGATAGTTTCGGATTCGGGTTTTGACGCATTGGGCTCAAACAGCACGGTCAACTTTTGGGAATCTGACAGCCGGTGGATAAGAATGAAATCTGCTGGCGGATTTACCAGAGGTTCCTACACGTAAAAAGACATGCATATTTGCAAATTTGTCCCTCTCATCGACATAATTGGTAATTTGCCCTCAATTTCTGCCGCCCTGGTATAAAATGCTCTCCAAAAGTTATATTCAAGAAATGTCCTCAAGGTTACTACCAACAACAACAACAACAACATAAAAAAAAAGAAATATCCTCAAGGTAGCATCCTTTGTTAGTTGTTTATTTGAAAATTTCTATATTAACCTTTAAAAATAATAATGTTAAAAATTCGAACTTATTTTAGCTTTTAATTTGATAGAACGCTGAAACATAATGATAAGTCCGCAAATTCTAGAATTTAAGAGTAAATTTGCAAAAATAGATAATTTGGGAGGTGCATGTGTAAAAATATCTTTCCTTTATTATTATTTTTTCAGTTAATAGGAGAAACTTAAAAGCTGCCCTAAAAGGGATATAAAACACGATTTTTCATGCACTGACACCTTAAGGGGCTGTTTGGTTGTTGTTGGTAAAATTGTGTATTTATGACACAACTTGGAAAGTACGAAATGCCCGTGCAGTTTTTAATTTATATAAACAAATCGATCATTTCTAAAAAAAAATAGCAAAACCGATTCTTTTCAAATGAAAATAGTCGGTTTTGCTGAGGAAGTGTTTTTCGAACTGCACGGGCATTTCGTTTTCTTTTTGAACTGCACAGGACTAACAGTCCCATGTATTTTAAAACTATCTACTGAGTGCAGTTCGAAAAACGAAATGCACGAGACTGCTAGTCCCATTGCAAAAATAATTTCACTTGTATACTTTTCTTTGTTTGTTTTTGATTCCATTGGAATCATAAATTACTTGTTTGGTTTGCAAATGTAACTTTAATTGTTTGTTTGGAAAGTGTAAAAAGTGGTCCCTACTCAAATGATCATATTGGTTGGAATTATTTTTTATTATTTTTTCTAATTTCAATATTAGCTTTCTCCTAAAATCATGTCTTTTTTTATGAAATTACTTTACAAGCCACATCAGCATATAAAATCACTTTACACTATTTTCACAACTACAAACAAACAATTAAAAGTGATGAAAACTGACATTGGGACCCACTTTTTTACACTTTCCATCCTTTTACACGGTAAAAACATACAACCAAACAGCCCCTAAGTTGGAATTTTAAAGTTTTCTATAGTTCTCTTTCCCAGGTGTTTGGTTCGAAAAACTCAACATGGAAAAGAGAAGCTGAAATAAAGTGCCCCTAAAAAAAGCGAAAAACTAACGTCTTAGGTAAAAGCTTCAAATTTGGGTGTTACTCTCACCAAAGTTGGTTAAATATTAGATAAAGTGGACTAAATAATGTGGAAATTATACTTGAACGGTTAGGAATGAATTAAATAGTGGAGATGTTGATTTCATTTCGTGTTTTCTTTTTGAAACAAAAAATAGAAATAAAAGAAAGATATTTTCCACACAACTTTCTCCACTCATTTTTCATTCGAAACAAACTCCAAACCATCTCCCCTGACACTTCCCAAAAAAAGAGCTCAAATTCGAACCCTCACACCGTCGAAACGACCCATCCCTTAATAAAAGAGTGCCACATGTTTAAGAGCATCTCCAACAGCTTCTCCATTTTCCACTTTTAAAGAATATAGTTAGGTTTTTGGTCCAACAGATTCCCCATCTCATTCCCCAAAATAGGGATGGAGGAGAAAAAAATGAGGAAGCTTCCCCAAATCTGCAGCATTCTTCAAATTTTTGGAGGAAAAAAATAAATTCTTCAAAATGGAGAAACTGTTGAAGTTAGTGTAAAAATAATTTGAAGAATATGATTTTTGCTTCCCCATTTTAGAGAAAATTTTAGAGAAGCTGTTGTAGATGCCCTAACTACAGGGGTCTAAGTAGAAATCAGTGCATTATTTAATGGTGGTATAAATGATCCCACCTCTTTTTTTATTATTTGCTTCCAGCTAGAGTTGAGTGGGCAACATTTGTGATTTAGTAGCGGGATCAAACTCGCATCTGTATACCGTTGTTTTTGTTTGTTTGGTTCTCAGCGAAAAGATCCAAAAGAGTAACTGTGTTCTAACTTTGGAGCAGGGAAAAATCTATTTTATAGCATCGGAACTGTGGCGATTAAAAAGATTATTGTTACGTTATTTTTTAGCTCAGTCAAAGATAATGTGACATTTAAAAAATATTACTGCAGAACATACAAAAAAATGCATTTAAATACGGAATTATAAAATAGAGGTTGTGTTTTGCACGAGGTGAAAACTAGTATATGACATGTTACATACGGTTAAACCACGACCAGACAAAGTTGATAATTCTTTCTTATTTCGTTTTCTAAAGAGAGGTTAATATGGGTGATTAATTTATCTGGAAGAAAACGATAGCGCGAAGTAGTAATAATTTAATATGCTCATCGTATGGCAGTTCTCCCTCGTAATTAACAAAAAAAACCCTAAGCTAATCGTTATATTCATAGCTCGTGACTCGTCTCCCTTGTTTTGCTCCCAAGCTTTAGATTGGCCGCTTTGTTCACAATCTTGTATTTTTTTTTTAAATCTCAGAGTTCTATCTCAAATCTTAGATGAGAATATGATCATGCTATGTTTTCTCAACTGTGGCCTGTGGGACATAAAAACTCACAACTACTAGGCATGCATAACTTAAGAGGAGAAAAAAAAATACAGCAGGAAAACTTTAGTGTACGAAGAGAAACTAATTGGACAATTTTTTGAAAACAGCTATTTTTTTAATTTATATAAACAAATCGATCATTTCTAAAAAAAATTAGCAAAACCGATTCTTTTCAAATGAAAATAGTCGGTTTTGCTGAGGAAGTGTTTTTCGAACTGCACGGGCATTTCGTTTTCTTTTCGAACTGCACGGGCATTTCGTTTTCTTTTTGAACTGCACGGGACTAGCAGTCCCGTGTATTTTAAAACTATCTACTGAGTGCAGTTCGAAAAACGAAATGCACGAGACTGCTAGTCCCATGCAGTTTAAAAAAACTCTTCCGCAGCAAAACCGACCATTTTCATCTGAAAATGATCGGTTTTGCTGACTTTTTTCAAAAAAAAAAAACGATTTTACTATATAAATTTGAAAATTGCGTGTTTTCAAAAAATTGTCCAAACTAATTTTGTGATGAGATTATAGATGGACCAACAAATTAGTCACTCCCTTTAATTGCTTCTCAAGTTAGGTTCTGCTTGCCCTTCAAGCATAAAAGCTCTCAACGCCCACAACCTCGCTCGCCTCACTCGTGAATAATTAACAAAAATTTGCTTTTCGGGATGTGACGTAATGATGCAACATAAATAGAGGCGTCCAATTCCGAAGCGTTGAAATTTGTAAAGATTGAATTATTATTTGTTAAAAAGGTGGAAAAAAGAAGAAAATTAAAAAGGGAAAAGGCCGAAGAACAGAGCTAATTAAGAGGGGTATTGGACTGTAGCAAAGAGGCTCTTTGCGTTTAAAATATTAGAGAAAAAAATAAGGTGTTATGTATGATTCTTTCGGATGATGTAATCCTTTCCTTTTACCAATCAAAATCTTGCGAATTCTTATTAAAAGTTCGTCACATCAAAAATAGGTTAACGTAGGTTACAAAGCTTTTAAATGACAGCGTGGCAAAATTATGATTCCGTCAACTAAACACTAATAAACAAACATATCATTATTCTTTTGCAATTGATTCATGGAGAATTTGTAGGCGGCAGCATTTAATTTTATCTTATTGCATTATTGTTGGAAGATACGATAAATGCAGAAGTGGACGAATCAGCGCGCGCCACGTCATTCACGCCACGTCATTAGGGCTATGCGTTCAGTTGCTTTCAAGGGAGTTGATGCTGTCAACTACTCTTTAATTAAACATTAATAAGTGCGTCCCATGGTAGCTTGCAAGTTGTGGTTTAGGTTAACCCAACAACTAATTAAAACCCACTGCGGAACCTAGGAGTAGCTCTTGAGTCCCAGTTAAGGACAGTACTTGACTTCGAATCACTTCACCTAATAAATAAAATAAATGAGCATAGAAAAATGATTATTTCAATGCTTAGTTGGATCAAGGAGCAAATACCACTGAGGATCCTCTATATAAAAGGAAAATGGTACAGGCACGCCACCAACCACACCTTGGGACACACTCTCCTCTCTCAGCTACAGTACACGGAGCCCATATGATTTTTTTAAAAAAATTTCATGTGGGTCCCGTGTACTGTAGTTGAGAGAGGAGTGTGTCCCAAGGTGTGGTTGGTGGTGTGCCTGTAGTGCCACCCTATATAAAATCATGGACTTTGGGACCCGAAAACATTGGACCAACACGAAGGACATGTGAGGTGTCACCCTTCTATTGCATAATGAGCTGACCATCATTTAATGATGTCCAGTTCATTATGCAATAGGAGCGTGACACCTCACTTGTCCCTAATGTTGGTCATATATTTATTTATATTTTGGGTTATTGGGGAAATTTTTCTAAAATCATATAGAGATAACACAAGCATCCAATATTTGATTAATTTGATAATTTCAATATATTGTTTGTACTGATTTTATTTAAATACGTGCATTGATTTTAGTTATCTGTACTAGTTTCAATGTAGCATTTACCGGTTTAAAAGTACATTCTTTGTTTGATATGACAAAATAAATCTGTTCTAGATCTGATGTTTTTTATAACTAGGTGAAAATTGGTCTGAGTGGGGGTTGAGCTTTGCTACAGTGATGACCAGCTCATTATGCAATAGGAGGGGGACATCTCACATGTCTCCATGTTAGCCTCATATTTTGAGTCTTTAGGGAAATTTTTCCTTTTGAAATTGCCAGACATAACGCACCTTAGGATTTTATTAGTCTCATATGATTTTTCCATAGGAAAAACTTAGTAATGGGCCCTACCACGTTGGTGAAAAATGTGTGTAATCATGCAAGTGGGTTCTTATTCACTGCTCTGGTCAGAGACCACTAGTAATCGTGAACCGACAGAACAACGTCCGCCCTCCCATAATCCCATTTGAAATTTAATAAGCTCCAGTCACGCTTCTATTTTTGGACGTTTTATTCTCTGATTTATTCATTTCTGCACGATGCCCTTTTGCCTTTTTATGACAGTTGCGTTGTTAGGATCGCACAAAATTATAATTTGAAGCATCACGGGCTCACAAATTCCCTCCATAATTAATACATATTCACACCCCTTTTGATTTTTAGCCTGTTTGAGTTGAAATTAAGCTCATTTATCCAAGTATGTTCTATTATAAAGTTACATTTTAGCTTTTTTATATATATCGGTACTTGTCATCTGCAGGACAGACAATCGAAAATTAATAATGTGCAGCAGGAAACCAATTGTTGACTGATTGCGTGCGTAATTATTGAAGCCTATCATCTATTTGCATAATTTTATAGCAAAAAAAAAAAATATACGCTTAATACTTCCTCAATTAGAGGGAAATATCAATCACTCAATACTATAACTTATCCTTAGAAATCAGAGAACAGGCAATCGTCACTAGAATAACTCATTCCTTGGGCGCGGCACGCAACTGAAGATATCATCATGAAAGAACGCAGAGAAAAAGGTCGAAGCCTGTGGGGGTGTTAGAGGCAAGAGATTTTTAAAAGCAATTAAAGATACGTTTTTTGTCTGCACCATTTTATTGTTGGTCTAGTTTAAAGGAAATCTTTCACGGCTGCAAATTGCAAATTGCAAATTGCATAACCAACCGCGGGTGGGACTTCTGGCTAGCGCCACGAAAGTGCGAGATGGAGATCTCCCTAGTTGGTCGGGGGTTCAAATCCATGTAGCTGCATTCACCTGGTCCTCTCAAGTTTAGGGTGGGAGGGGGGACCCGAGGTTTTTCTGGGCTCTCTGGCTTAGCCCCCACCCCTGTCGGTGGGGATGAGCCACTGGTATTAAGGGTAGCTCCTTGCAGGAAAAATAGTGGGGACCAAGAGGAATCGAACCAGGATCGCTAGCGGATTCCAAAGGAGTTATGCTGAGCTGAGGTGACCAGGTTTCCCTTGTCAAAAAAAAAAATTTGCAGTGCATGGAATTTTGAGATCGACTTGAGATGTATGGAGTGCATTAGGTAGAGAATTTGTTTTTTATTTTCATTTTTAAGTAATATTTTTCAAACATCATAACTTTTTAATATAATTTCAACTATTTTTTTTCTTTGTTTGACGAGGAAACTCCACAATCCTTCGCATCGCATCCTCAACGGACGTCTCGAATATCCCAGGAAAATAAATTTTTGTGGGTGCTCTACAAAAGAGTCAAACCTAAGAGTTCGGAGTGTTACTCATAGATAACTACCAATTCGACTAGATTCTCTTGAATAATTTTAACTATTTACATATTTAACTCGGCGGATTTGGATCTGGCTTGGACAGCAAGTAGTTTTTTTGCTTGAATTCTCATGATTGTATGGAACATTGCGGGTGGAGATACAAAGGTAGCCCATTGTATGAAGGCCCAATAAATGAACGGTAAGATGGGCTGGCTGGTGCCAGGCCCAATAAATGAGGGGTTGGGTTCGATAAAGGGAATGAGAATGAATAACAGCGCGTAGCCCACTAATATTCTGCTGCTTAACCACGTTAGAGTTGTGTGCTGCTCTAACCTACCCAGCCATACCGGGTCGAACTCGACTCAATCTTATCCGACCCGAAAAACCAGTCTCCTTCGGTTCCTCGTCTAAAATTTTCGTTTCTAGGGTTTTTAGAGTTTTCAAAAGCCGCGTGCTTTTCTCAGTTAGGGTTTTCGAATCTCAAAAAAATGGCGAAAGAACAGCTCTCGTACACCGTAGAGCAGCTCGTGGCAGTGAATCCTTACAACCCCGACATCCTCTCCGATCTCGAGAACTACGTCAACGAGCAGGTGAAACCCTAACCTGAGTTCATATTTCGATCAGCGGACTGCGATTTAGGATAAGTTTTCGTTGTTTTAATGCTAATCGGTTTGATTATGCGTTTGTTTGAAATAGGCTATAGATTTATGGTTTGAGTTTATGATGGGAGCGAAAGTTTAGTTTCTTTTACGAAAAGAATATAGTTTGTTGAATGGATTTGTAAAAAAAAAACTGTTCCTTTTTAGGCTTTTAAGAATTGGGATCCAAAAAAGCATTAAATTCAGGGAAGTTAAAATTGTTCTGTGTTGTATCCTGCACTCATTTAGCGATCGATGAGAACTTAATATTTTGTGTTTTAGAGAATAGCTGCCTCGATGAAATGTTCGAAAAGCGAAATGTTCTGAAAGATATGCACCTGGATTAATCACTCTTTAAGATATTCCTTGAAAAATTAGTTTTCTTGATATTTAATCTCATTATTAGAATTCCATGTATAATATTTACCATGATGTTGACAAAATGTAATATGGATCATATTTTCCTAGGTTCCAATTCAAAATTACACATATTGGATTACACACTGTCATTTCTCTTGATTTCCAAAAAAACTCCTCTTTCTTTGCAGCAACCTTCAAAATGTTAGGGGTATTTTGAGCATATGGGCATGCGTACATGGTCTTTCAAAGTTTTGGGAGTCAGAATTTTGGGAGTTTAGCTGAGTAACTATGATTAGTGTCATAAACCTATTTCATGTACCATTAGCATATCAATTTATTATCTCGTCCTTGTGTTGCTATCATCTATAGTCGCATAATTATCTCCCTTGCATTATGGATTTTACAAAATTTCCAAATTGTGATCGTCAGTGGCCTCAAATTCATTTTCGTCCAAGTAGCTTCTAGTTTATTATCAAACTTCTTCTGTCTTGACTAGGGGTGAGCATGGTTCGGTCCAAACCGAAAAAACCGACCGACCCGACCCGAAATTAACAGTTCGGGTCGGTTTTATCTATGAGAACCGACTGAACTATACCCATTAACAATCAAACCCGACCCGTTCAACCATTCCCTCAAATATCAACGAAGTCTCAAACCCTAAAATCCTCCAGCCGCCTCTCTCAGTTCCTCTCTCTCTCCCCCAATTCATGGCGACTATGGCGAGCTAACCCGCCTCTTTGCCCAGCTCGCCACCAATCTCCGGCGATCCACCACCTCAACCTCCACCAACCCCTCCTCCTCCTCCGATCCGTCAAGCGCATCTCGTCTATTGCCACCTCTTTCAGTTCACAAATCCCAAGAACTAGGGTTTTGGACGCCGCCCTCTCGCTCATGTGCATCAACTCTTCTCAGGTCTCAATCTCCTTCTTCCCATCCTATGGTAAATTACACGAGTTTTTTTGATTTTTTTTTTCTCTTTTTCAAGAAACCCCTAGTTCTATCTATTTGTGTTTCTTTGTTTCTTACGATCTATGTTTGTTTTACATGTATATGGTTGGGTAGTTCATTTTCCTTTTTTTAATTTAATTTTTATGCCAGTTATAACCAGTATGTCAATTGACTGAGTACAATTAACATTCTGTTCCACTGATTTCTAGTAATACAGCCCTGGGAATCTGTATTTAGTAGTTCAGAGAAGCTTTTTGTTTGCCATTCTTATGACTAAGTTAATATAATTGTTCGGTTATGTATCTATAGAGTATAATATGAATACTGTTGTTTCTTTTCCTTTTTCACAGTCTGCAGGAAATGCGTTTTTCAGATATTAGATGATGAGGAAGTGGACTGCTGCCCAATATGCAAAATTGATATCGGTTGCGTACCAATTGAGACGCTCAGGTAAATTTAACTGCTGTGATTTTTTTCTCTCTCTTAGTTTTATTGGTATATTTCATATTTGATGAATCGATTGACTTGTTTTCAGCCTAGCTGCTTACTGATTTCCTGATGTAGTGCGTTTATATCATGCTGATCTTTCTAGTATTATTATTATATTCAGCTTTATTTTCTCTGAAAATGGTTGAGGGCAGAAAGGAAAGTACCAAAACAACACGAAAGCATGTATTTTGATGATCAAACAACATGAAAATGTTTATCTATTTAGTAGGGCGTCGCTTGTTTCATTACTTTAATAGGAATTTAGAATGCATCTTGATTAGAACCGAACAAACCGAACCGAACCGCATCGAACCGATTTGCAACGATTCGGTTCGGTTTTGAATTGTAGGTGGTTCGGTTCGGTTGTTCAAATTTTGGTAAAAACTAGGGGTGAGCACGGTTCGGTTCGGGTCGGTTTTTACGCAAATTTGAACAACCGAACTGAACCACCTACAATTCAAAACTGAACCGAATCGTTGCAAATCGGTTTGGTACGGTTCGGTTCGGTTTGTTCGGTTCTAATCAAGATGCATTCTAAATTCCCATTAAAGTAATGAAACAAGCGACGTCCTACTAAATAGATAAACATTTTCATGCTGTTTGATCATCAAAATACATACTTTTGTGTTGTTTTGGTACTTTCCTCTTTCTGCCCTCAACCATTTCCAGAAAAAATAAAGCTGAATATAATAATAATACTAGAAAGATAATATCAGCATGATATAAACGCACTACATCAGGAAATCAGTAAGCAGCTAGGCTGAAAACAAGTCAATCGATTCATCAAATATGAAATATACCAATAAAACTAAGAGAGAAAAAAATCACAGCAGTTAAATTTACCTGAGCGTCTCAATTGGTACGCAACCGATATCAATTTTGCATATGGGGCAACAGTCCACTTCCTCATCATCTAATATCTGAAAAACGCATTTCCTGCAGACTGTGTAAAAGGAAAAGAAACAGCAGTATTCAAATTATACTCTATAGATACATAACCAAACAATTATACTAACTTGGTCATAAGAATGGCAAACAAAAAGCTTCTCTGAACTACTAAATACAGATTCCCAGGGCTGTATTATTAAAAATCAGTGGAACATAATGTTAATTGTACTCAGTCAATTGACATACTGGTTATAACTGGCATAAAAATTAAATAAAAAAAAGGAAAATGAGCTACCCAACCATAGACATGTAAAACAAACATACGTAAGAAACACAAACAGATAGAACTAGGGGTTTCTTGAAAAAGAGAAAAAAAAAATAAAAAAAGCTCTTGTAATTTACCATAGGATGGGATGAAGGAGATTGAGACCTGAGAAGAGTTGAAGCACATGAGCGAGAGGGCGGCGTCCAAAACCCTAGTTCTTGGGATTTGCGAGCTGAAAGAGGCGGCGATAGACGAGATGCGCTTGACGGATCGGAGGAGGAGGAGGGGTTGGTGGAGGTTGAGGCGGTGGATCGCTGGAGATTGGTAGCGAGCTGGGCAAAGAGGTGGGTTAGCTCGCCATGAGTTGGGGGAGAGAGAGAGAGAGGCGGCTGGAGGATTTTAGGGTTTGAGACTTCGTTGATATTTGAGGGAATGGTTGAACGGTTAGGGTTTGATTGTTAATGGGTATAGTTCGTTCGGGTTGAAAATTTTTCAACCCGAACCGAACCGCCTCACAGATAAAACCGACCTGAACTGTTAGTTTCGGTTCGGTCGGTTTTTTCGGTTTGAACCGAACCATGCTCACCCGTAGTAAAAACCGAACCGTGCTCACCCCTAGTTTTGACTGGTAGGGGGTTCTCTTAATTTTTCTGGGTTTTGGGTGCGAGCAATTGTTTATAGGTTGTTTTGTGGATTATGCCTTTTTCCTGCACACACTTCAGCCAGCTTCACTTTTTGCATTATGAATTCTTTCAACTTTTTCCTCAGGTTTCTTCTCAAACTTACAGCCTGGATGCAAATCTTTGCCTTCTTCGACTTTATCAGGTTGGGATCCTATATTCAACAACAGATGTGCCTCTGCGCACATTCATACACACAAGCATGGCAAACACACATTTCATAGAATTTGGTTTTACACCCCACTCGTCTTTTCTTCAATTAACATCCTTTCTTGCAGTTTGAGCCAGAAAGAATGAACATCCAAATTGTAGCTCGTATCTTGATAAAGGTTTGTTAAATTTGATACAACATGCTGCAAAAAATTTTCTGCTTCTCCTTATATTTAAATTTGAATATGGTACTTTCTTTGTTATATCCCTTTGTAACAGGCTCTCATGGCAATGCCAGCACCAGATTTCAGCCTATGTCTCTTCTTAATCCCAGAGCAAGTGGTATTGGCTTTTCACTGTCTTTCTTTTCTCCCTTTTCAAATGAATCTTTTTGTGAAATTATTAAAAAAAAAGAGGTTAGGATTGCATTTCATCGAAACAATCTATTATCTATCTGCTTTTGAATTTATACTTCATTGTATTTTAAGCTGCTGTACTATTCTAAGAGTGCCTGTATGTTCCCTCCTTTCTCGTTCTTATCAGCAACTGGAGGAGCAATTCAAGACATTGATTGTTCTCTCACACTATCTAGAGGTTTGAATTTGTCTCAGTATATCATTTTACACTGTGCTTCTTAGATTCAGAGCTGATTGTTAATTTTTCTTTTGTGCTGGAACCATAGACTGCCAGATTTCACCAGTTTTGGGATGAAGCTGCAAAGAATCGCAGCATACTTGATGTTGTTCCAGGTATGATAATTCGATCATCTCTCCTCATATCTTTTAGCACCAATCATCAAATTCTTGTACCTAGCTTTACCTGTGATATACTTTCATAACATTCCTAAAATGGCCTTTTATCGTAATTCTGGTTTCCTGTATCATTTTTAGAATCTCCTCTCAAAGTAACCAAACTTTGGTGTAAACTACACAGTCATTTTGTTGTCTTCTTTAAATTACCCTGCATTTTGTTTTGAATTCAGATCCTGTTCTATGATCCATATTTTGGGTTTTTGTACTGTTGTAAATTTTCTATATCTAATTATTGACACCTGCCAGGTGCAAACACGCCAGGTTTCCATTATTTATGCTCCTATTTAGCAAAAATTTCTCATCTGCTCTGTAGATAGTTTACAAGCTTCATTTTATCATAAAAATGTTAAAATTTGTTTCAAGACACTGTGCATACTTTGAGTTGCCTCACAAAGTTACTTGGGCTTTTTATAGCATAGGATAAGATGTTCATCTATACTGTTACCTGAATTCTACCAGGGTCACGCAGAGAAGTCCTTTCTTATCCCTAACATTAGGGATCATCTTTTTTCCCCCTTCTGGATGAACGAACTTGGCTATGTGGGGTTCGGTTCTAAGTTGCACGCTTATATGTCGTAAATTGTCAAAGGTTCTAGAGAGATATTTTATATAGTACAGAGTGCAGAAGGTTTCAATTTCATATTCTGCAAAGTACCAAGAAAACCGTAATTGTTTTACACTGATGGAGTGCTGATTTTCATCACCTAGGTTGAACTATTCATCGGGATATCCAATAGGATGTTGGCAGCATGAACTGCCAGGACCAGCAGGATAGCTTATGTAGAGGAAGTGCTTTTAGAGAATTCTGTAACCACGGATTACCCATGAAACTGAAGTAGTACTATCAGATGGCTGCTGGAATGGAAGTGCTATGTGGACAAAAAAGTCCAAATGTATTTCTAGCTGATAGTAGCATGTTTAGATTCACGACTTGCAATTGGATATCAACGAATGAGTGAAAAACCAGAGGTATCTTAATTAAATGATAAGAGACAATCGTTTGAATGTGTGTGACAAAGACCAATAATGTGTTACTAAGAACTGAAATAGGAGGAGGTGGGGTTTTTGTTTGGGTGGGGTTTGGGGGGTGTCACACTCAGAGCAAGGACTTTCCAAGATCACCTATGCTGGATTTCTACTGACCACACAGTAATATGTCATTTTGTACTTATTACACTTAGCAGCTGAGTCTGAGGGAAGGCTGGTGTGCATGTGCATTTTTTCCTCTTGTTTTGTCATGATGTCGTTACAATTCACTTGACTGTATAACTTCCCTACAACTTCCGCTTTTTAAGCTGCTTCTCTTGTTCGTTCTTAGCGTGACAGTTTATGATAGCAACTGCATCATCACACTAATTATGGTGAAATCAAATGTATAAATGGTCCATCAAGGCTAAGATATTAAGAACAGAATCCCCCCCCCCCCCGACCCCACCCACATCACACACACACACGCACAAAAAATGAAAAAAAAAGAAAAACTTTGGGCGATTATAATACACCCCCTATACGTCTTCAATATCAGATGACACTCTATAATTTGAGATTTATTAGAGAACCCACTAAATTGGAGTTTTTTTAATAAATCAAGAGTTAAAGGGGGTGTTCTGAGAAATCTGAAAGTTAACGGGGTTCGTGATAATTTATACCTGCAGTCGCAGGTGTTTGGGGGGGGGGGGTGGGGGGCGGATAAGCTTTGAAACGATAATCGTCCAAAGTTAAGGACTTAAGGGGTTTTTCTGATATTTACTCTTCTCCAGTTAATAATTCATAGACGGATTGAATGTAATGCATAACAGAATGGATTTAAATTTCTCTACGTCCAACATTTGGCAAATGATTAATGCTACTAGTAGCATAGCAAATTTTATAGTGCATGTTTAGCCCGTCTTTTTTCTTTTTCCTCTTAATTTTCTTTTTAAGTCTATTTCATATTCAGATACCACATGTTCGTATGTACTGTGAAAATTCACATGCACGCTCAATACATGATGGGATGAAACTAAGTGAAGATTATTTGAAGTAAAATTTGAAATCATTCCCACTTGAAATCATGATGCGAGTTTTTGCTGCAGGTTTCGATAAGGCAGTTCAAAATTATGCCATCCATGTCCTTTCCTTGACTTACCAGAAGGTGCCCAGGGCTGTCCTTGCAGAGGTAGGTCTTGATTTTACTTATATTTCTTGCACTGCCGAAATTTAAGTTATATTCAACAATATATATTTGGGGTTTGCCTCTTAAAACAGGCCATAAACATTGAAGTTCCCTCCCTTGACAAGTTCTTGGAGTACCAAGTAGCCAACTCTGGTTGGGCCCTCGAAAGGGGACAAGGTGGCTCTCAGCTTATCGTTCTTCCTCGCAACGAGTTCAACCACCCTGAGCTTAAGAAGAACACAGCTGACAGCATCCCATTGGAGCACGTCACCAGGATCTTTCCCATTCTCAGCTAAACTCACATCTGCACTTCCTCGCTTCTCTATGCGAATTTGATGTGTTAAAAACTGTATAAGAATTACTCTCTTCTTCTTTCATTTTTGATGGAGCTAAGAGTTTATTGTTGCGCTTTTAATTATGATGGTTATTTTGGCAATTATGAGGGTTATGGATTGCAATTTTCAATTCTTCGAAGGTGGCGAAGGATTAAACTAGCGATTCAAATACCACGACCGTATCCTAGTTTTGCTTTGCTAATAAAATAAAGTAACTCATCAACACGCTTTAGAAATAATCTTGATTTACAATTCGTTACATGTGGCTCAGATCAGCGAGGGGGTTGAAAATTCACATGTTGCGGAGGATGGAATTTACTAAATATGTTACCATTTACTTGTAGATGCATCGTGTATTGAAATACTTCCAGTCATCACCGTAAAATCTACAGGATGAATTGAATATTTTTTTTTGCCGCATAAAGTGCTGCTAAATATGTTGATGGATGACAGATGTCATTGAAAGTATTGATGGAGGGTGGTTATGTTATATACTATTTACCCAAAAATTAAAGTTGTATGAAGTTCACCCGAAAAATAAAAATGAAGAGAAAAAGGAATTTAGGTGTTGTTTCGTTGGACGAAAATAGAGATGGAGGAGTAAAAGAGCAATCGGATTCATAAATATGTTGGTTGGTTTGTGATTTTATAGTTAGGAAATGTTGNAATAGTTTCCCCCTTAAAAAAGAAAATTTAAAAATAAATGTAGTTTCATAATTTCACCTCATAGAAAAATCTAAACTAAAAATCCACCTACAACAAGTTTTCTTATATGACAAAATTACGTAGCGTTTCCACAAACTATTTTTCAACTAAACACTAAGTTTATATCGAAAATATATTTCCTACAAAAAATTTATATTATACCCAAACAACTAATTTAAAGTTTGATTTCCCAAGACAAACGTTGCCAGCAGCATTGCTGTCGCTTTTTCTTTTTTCTTTTTTCTTTTTTTGCAGCGAACCGAAACGGGCTCAGAACGCTCCGTAAATCATAGCGCATCACGGCCTGTTGGAGCACGCATGGGCTGGGCCCCCGTTGATGGAGATTTCCGGGCCCTTCTGCTGCCCTTCCTAATTTTAAGGGCAGACGCTTACCGGGTTTCGGATTTCCAACCCACGGCCCGCATGCATTCCACACCCCGTTAAGGTCCATCCTTTTCCACCCCCCAACTTATTTACCAGTTCGCGCTAGGGTT